GTGTGGTGGTGTACATTGTGGTAGGTGTGTGTGTGGTACAGTGTGTAGGTGTGTGTTGTACAGTGTGTAGTGTGTGTGGTACAGTGTGTAGGTTTGTGTTGTACAGTGTGTATGTGTGTTTGTACAGTGCGTAAATGCGGCGGACAGACGGGTCTCAGTTGGTTTGGTGTCCTCTGCTTACTTTTAATAGGCCTACTTGTAAATACAACTTTTGGCCGTAATTTCAATTCCCCATTTCAGCGACCAGAGAGAGAGGGGGATATATCCAGTCTCTGATTGTGTTACGTTATTATGAGAGTGCTGTGCTCTCATACTTTAAATTGTATATATTTATATAAATATATTTGTGTGTGTGTCTGTAGCCTGTTATTGTCTCATGATACCGCACTCTCAATGAATTCAAAGTAAATATGTGGGGGAACAATGTTCAGCTGATCTAACAGAGATACAGTGCTATGACAAAACACTCGACAGCTGATGCAGCTGTTGCCACGTAATAATGAACGGACGTCTCTTTAAAATGACCGCTCAGAGGAGAGGAGTTCTCATTTCTTTAAACGTCTGCTGCTTCCCCTCCTCTCTCCTCGGTTCCCCTCCTCGGTCCTCCGCTCGCATCTCCTGTGGGCGGGTCTAAGTCTCGAGGAGGGGAGTCGAGGAGGGGAGTCGAGGAGGGGAAATTTGAGTATTGAGAAGCCTCTAGTGTGACATTCAGGCGTTTCTTACTTGCGGGTCTTGACGTCGTCCAGCTCCTTGCACAGCTTCTCGTTCTTCTCCTGGTTATCCACCAGGCGGCGCCGCAGGTCTCCGATCTCCTCCTGAGCCTCGGACTTTATGTCGTTTGCGATGACAACGGCCGTCTGAAGGTCGGCCTGAAACTGACGCCACTCCATCGACTCCTCCTGCGCACACACACATAACACACACACACGGTAAGGCAACAGTGGACAGACAGTGGTAACTGTGTGTGTTGGAGCTATTCATTCTTTTGATGCTGTTCTGTTCCGAGTCATTTGATCATTATCGTGTTTCATTTAGTAGTTGTTAATGCTTTACCCTCAGTCTGCGGTGAAGGATCTTAATCTCTCTCTCCATGTCGTGCTTCTGGTCCTGCAGCTTCTTCACAGAGTCTGAAATACAAAAGAAATGTATGCATGCCTCACTCAATACCACAAACATATATACTGAAGACTCTTTCATAGTCCCGTGAAATAATGCTTTAGTTTTTCCTATACTATAATTATGACATCAAAATCAACTTTGAATGCCTGATACAGTGTCACAGTTATAACAACGTGTCCGGCTCACTTACTCTCCAGGTCGGTGATGATGAGGTTGTCGTGCAGTTTGAGCGCTCGGTGCTGCTCCACCTCGTCCTCCAGCTCGAAGATTGTTTCCTTCATATCTGCGATCTCCGTCTCTTTCTCCTGAAGATCCCCCCGCTGCTTATCCACGATGCGCTCCTGATCCGTCATCTGCCGCTGCACCCGATCCCTGAAGTCCCTGTACTCCCCGTCCAGCTGCACACAGGAAGAGGGGGTACTTTAAAGGTCACCTATTGTGCACAATCCACTTGTTCACAACATGTGTCCCCTCTTCTTCATGTCTCTTCTACATCAACATGTGTCCCCTCTTCTTCATGTCTCTTCTACATCAACATGTGTCCCCTCTTCTTCATGTCTCTCTTCTATCAACAACAATGTGTCCCCTCTTCTCCATGTCTCTTCTACATCAACATGTGTCCCTCTTATCATGTCTCTTCTACATCAACATGTGTCCCCTTCTTCTTCATGTCTCTTCTACATCAACATGTGTCCCCTCTTCTAATCAATGTCTCTTCTGTCTCTTCTACATCAACATGTGTCCCCTCTTCTTCATGTCTCTTCTACATAACATGTGTCCCCTCTTCTTCATGTCTCTTCTACATCAACATGTGTCCCCTCTTCTTCATGGTCTCTTCTACATTCAACATGTGTCCCCGGTCGTCTCATGTCTCTTCTACATCAACATGTGTCCCCTCTCTTCATGTCTTTCTACATCAACATGTGTCCCCTCTTCTTCATGTCTCTTCTACATCAACATGTGTCCCCTCTTCTCCATGTCTCTTCTACATCAACATGTGTCCCCTCTTCTCATGTCTCTTCTACATCAACATGTGTTCCCCTCTTCTTCATGTCTCTCTACATCAACATGTGTCCCCTCTTCTTCATGTCTCTTCTACATCAACATGTGTCCCCTCTTCTTCATGTCTCTTCTACATCAACATGTGTCCCTCTTCTTAGCTCTTCTACATCAACATTGTCCCCTCTTCTCATGTTCTCTACATAACATGGTGTCCCCTCTTAGTCTCTTCTACCATCAACATATGTGTCCCTCTTCTTCATGTCTCTTCTACATCCACATGTGTCCTCTCTTCTTCCTGTCTCTTCTACATCAACCATGTGTCCCCTCTTCTTCATGTCTCTTCTACATCAACATGTGTCCCCTCTTCTTCATGTCTCTTCACATCAACATGTGTCCCCTCTTCTTCATGTCTCTTCTACTCAACATGTGTCCCCTCTTCTCTCATGTCTCTTCTACATCAACATGTGGTCCCCTCTTCTTCATGTCTCTTCACATCAACATGTGTCCCACTCTCTTCATGTCTCTTCTACATCAACATGTGTCCCCTCTTATGTCTCTTCTACATCAACATTGTCCCCTCTTTTCATGTCTCTTCTACATCAACATGTGTCCCCTCTTCTTCATGTCTCTTCTACATCAACATGTGTCCCCTCTTCTTCATGTCTCTTCTACATCAACATGTGTCCCCTCTTCTTCATGTCTCTTCTACATCAACATGTGTCCCCTCTTCTTCATGTCTCTTCTACATCAACATGTGTCCCCTCTTCTTCATGTCTCTTCTACATCAACATGTGTCCCCTCTTCTTCATGTCTCTTCTACATCAACATGTGTCCCCTCTTCTTCATGTCTCTTCTACATCAACATGTGTCCCTCTTCTTCATGTCTCTTCTACATCAACATGTGGTCCCCCTCTCTTCATGTCTCTTCTACATCAACATGTGTCCCCTCTTCTTCATGTCTCTTCTACATCAACATGTGTCCCCCTCTTCTTCATGTCTCTTCTACATCACATGTGTCCCTCTTCTTCATGTCTCTTCTACATCAACATGTGTCCCCTCTTCTTCATGTCTCTTCTACATCAACATGTGTCCCCTCTTCTTCATGTCTCTTCTACATCAACATGTGTCCCCTCTTCTTCATGTCTCTTCTACATCAACATGTGTCCCCTCTTCTTCATGTCTCTTCTACATCAACATGTGTCCCCTCTTCTTCATGTCTCTTCTACATCACATGTGTCCCCCTCTTCTTCATGTCTCTTCTACATCAACATGTGTCCCCTCTTCTCATGTCTCTTCTTACGTCACATGTGTCCCCTCTTCTTCCATGTCTCTTCTACATCAACATGTGTCCCCTCTTCTCAGTCTCTCTACGTCAACAGTGTCCCCTTCTTCATGTCTTTCTACATCAACATGTGTCCCCTCTTCTTCATGTCTCTTCTACATCAACATGTGTCCCCTCTTCTTCATGTCTCTTCTACATCAACATGTGTCCCCTCTTCTTCATGTCTCTTCTTCATCAACATGTGTCCCCTCTTCTTCATGTCTCTTCTACATCAACATGTGTCCCCTCTGTGGAAAGAGAAAGTTTCAGGAACAAAGATTCTCTCTCTTTTTGATCCATTTCTATAAAAACCTGTCTGAAAATGAGCTGATCAGATTTTGGCCACTTTATGATGTCATAACGATGTGTTGTCTTGTGTAACCATTAGCCAATCAGCAACCAAGGTACCCCCCCCCCCCCCCCTTATCACCTGAATCTCCTCTAGAGCACCATTGAGTTCTTTGTAACCAAATGTCTCTCAGAGGGGCGTGGGGAGGGGCTCCTTATTTTCATCTAAAGTAACAGACAGAGAATCAGCAATTTGGAAACATGGCTGAAACAGAGGGGATTATGGGTAATGCTGCAATGATCTGTTTGATGTTTCAGCCAATCAGAGACAGGCTCTGTATATATCTGAGACCTGTGATATATTGATGAAAGACAGTATAATGGGGGACCTTTAATTCATTTACACACGGCATCTATTGCACGTCTGTCCGTCCTGGGAGAGGGATCCCTCCTCTGTTGCTCTCCCTGAGGTTTCTCCCATGTTCCCTTTAAACTGTGGGTTTTCTCCGGAAGTGTTTCCTTGTACGATGTGAGGGTCTAAGGACAGAGGGTCTAAGGACAGAGGGTGTCGTATTGTCATACTGACATTCTGTACAAACTGTGAAAGTCCACTGAGACAAATGTAACATTTGTGATATTGGGCTCTATAAATAAACATTGATTGATTGATCAACAAGCCATGATTTTTACACTTTAACACTAATACAAAATATGTATTTTAAACATCGCTGAACTCTAGAACACAACAAAATGTGTTTTCTTGAATTGGGTTTGAGTAAAATACAACATACATACAACAAGTGGGTCAAATGTAGGCATCACGTTAGACTGAAAGTCTCGATGCTACGCCGTATGGGGTTATTTTGGTCGATGCATTAAAGTTAAGCAGCCCTAGTAAACTCTGGAGACCCGACAGCAAAGGGCTAATCTGGCTCTGCCCCATAAATAAAACATGCTCTCATTAAGGTGACCTAAAACTAGTATCCACTTTCTTGCTGCCTAGTTTAAAGCTTGACTCAGCTCAAACACAGTTATTGCTTCAGGAAAATTATGCATGATCTGGATTTCAAGTTTTAGGCAGTCACATTCAAACTGATCATTTAATTTATTTTGTATTTGTAGAGGACATAGTTTGCTCATTTTCAGGCTCATAGTTGCTCTGATCTGTTAGCTGGCAGGCTCTTTTGTGATTGCAGTGTTTCCCACAGATATGAAATATACTTGGGCGGGTGGTGGCAAGTTTTAACAACATTATTTATTGACTTTTCATTCCTGTATAATCATTTTGCGCAAAGATGGCACTGTTTGTCAGAGCACTTCATCCTTCTGGGATTTCATGAAGAACAGCTCCAACGCCTGTGTGTATGGGAATGCCTCTGGTGCTGGTCCATTAACTGCCAGTGTTTCCCACAGATCTGAAATATACTTTGGGGGGTGGTGGCAGGGGGGGGGGGTTGAGGTGACGTGCAACAACATTAACCTTTCTGTTGGTCGCTTGTTAGCAGACCCTTCACGCGATGGCAGAGCGAACAGGTACAGGTACAGGCAGGGTCCATAATGATAGCCCTATAGTTTAAATCTACTACCCACACATGAACATATGGAAATGGGTTACTATTTTAAAAAATAAATGTATTTATAAATGTATTTAGGAACCTATCCATGTGATTTGGTGGGGGTCGACCTCAAATCCTCTAGGGGGGTCCAGGGGCATGCCCCCCCGGTAAGATTTTATTTTTTATTTTGGAGTTAAATGCATCAATCTGGTGCATTTTGAGGGGAAACAAAGAGACTAGATCTATGGAAACACCTATATTAAACAGAACTGTATACATTTCAATAATCATAAAATCAAGGCCATAACCAATAACATACCTTTTCCAATATGAAAAAAACACTGAAACTTGTTTATTAATTTATTTTTGGTTCATTTATAGTTGTGAGTGTGTCTGTGCTCCTGAATCAGCCTCTCCTGTCTCCCTCCATCCTCTCCCCCTGCTCCTCTTTGAGGCAGCAGCAAAGACTAGTTTTCTCTCAACAAGTTTTAAAAGTGTATCTTACCTTTTTTCACCTAGTTAACTTTTTATTTATTTATTCATGCATATTTTACTAATCACATTACATTTCATTTAGCTGACGCTTTTATCCAAAGCGACTTATAATGACCGATTACAGGGACATTCTCCCTGGAGTAACTGAGGGCTAAGTGCCTTACTCAAGGGCACACTAGTGGTGGTGTTCCTGGCGGGATTTGAACTCACAGCCTTCCGATCTTCAGCCCACCTCACTATCCATTAGACCAATCACTACCCTCTCAAATGGAAATATGTGTTTACATAAATGGTGACCACACCGTTTGAGACCCACTGAGAACTTAGACTAAGTTAACTATCTAAACACTCAGAGAGTCCTTTACCTCACCTGAGCTGAGGTTATCCCGAGCTTGAATGACACACAGAGACCAATCAAGGGCTTTGATTTATGATCTGTATGACAGTGGCCATGTCGACAGGCCACATCATGTGGACAGCCAGTCACCCTGTGTGAGGCAGGCCACTTAACAGGCCAGAAGGAGGCCAGATCAGAGCAAGGGAGCGAGGGATCTTTGTCGACAAGTTAATCGATCGCAGATGGCGTCGTGGTCACGGACGAATAAAAAAAAAAAATCTAAAGAAAAAATGTTATAAAAAAAAAACTAAAAACTAAATGGGTCGCGAAATATACCTGGGCGGCCGTTAATATACCTGGGCGGCCGTTAATATTACCTGGGCGGCCGTTAATATACCTGGGCGGCCGTTAATATACCTGGGCGGCCGTTAATATACCTGGGCGGCCGTTAATATACCTGGGCGGCCGTTAATATACCTGGGCGGCCGTTAATATACCTGGGCGGCCGTTAATATACCTCTGGGCGGCCGTTAATATACCTGGGCGGCCCGCCCAAGTATAGTCTATGTGTGGGAAACCCTGGATTGGTCAACCACTTAGAGATGTCCCGCCGCTCACATTTCATTTCATGTAAATTGTGTTGGAGCACTAGCCAATAGAAGCGTGAGTGTTACACAGTGATGTCACAATGTTCCTGAAGTTAACAAAGGAGTCAGTAACATTCTAATGCCCTGCCCTAGTGAATACCGCCCCCTACTGTACAGGTGGTGTAGACACTGCGCTTGTTTGATGAATGCAAGCTACTCTTCTTCGCATTAGTGATCGGTTATCATTTCACTATCTGAGCTGTAATAATGACCGTCTGTGTTTCTTGTAATTATGTAATTGCTCTGTTAGTGTACAGTTTGATTATCATGCTGCTGTGTTTATTGTATTGTTCTAACTCTGGCACAACAATTTCCTTCTGGATAAATAAAGTCTTATCTTGTCTCACCTTACTGAATGAATGCAAGCTACTCTTCGTATAATTGATCGGTTATCATTTCAATATCCGAGCATAGGGCTGCTCGATTATGGCAAAAATCATAATCTCGTTATCTGGGTCAATAATTGTAAATGCGATTATTCATTGACTTTGAAAACATCCATTTATTGGAGGAAAAAAATGTGAACAGTATGTTTTTAACAGTTGATTACTGATCAACTGAAAAACCAAAAAATATATAATAATAATAAAAAAATTATCGTTTTATTTCGATTACGTTGTTTTCGTAATCGTTGCAAGCCATAATCGTAATCGCGATTAAAATACGATTAATTGAGCAGCCCTATCGGAGCCTTTTCTGTAATTCAAAGAAATATATATATTGTCTGCTCGGATAAATATAATAATAATAATAATAATAATAATAATAATACTACATTTGATTTATATGTGCTTTTCCTGGTGCTCAAAGCGCTTCACAAGCAAGTAAAGAAGAGACACAACAACCAGAGTAAAAAGTGCTAAGCGAGGTGGAATAAGGGCGAGGGGTTAGAGGAGTAGGAGTTGAAGGAAAGAGTGAAAAGGTGAGTTTTACAGATGCATCCCTACTCAGGCTTTGACTCACCTTACTGAAGGTCTCCTGCAGGCGTGTGAGTTCACTGTGAGCTTTCTCCAGCTCCTCCTGCAGCTTCGCAGCCTTGGCCTCCGCCTCCTCCTTCCCCTGCCTCACGCCCTCCAGCAGCTGGCAGATATCGTTCTTGTCCCCCGCCGAGTGGAGGGAGTAAAGCTCTGCGACCCTCTGCCTCTCCTGGTCCAGCTGAGCTCTGCAGCGACTCAGCTCCGCCTGGTCGCTGCTCACCGCCATCTTATACTCCTCCAGCGCTGCTCCCATGGCGGCTCGGCCCTGCCGCTCTGACTCCATGATGCGCTCCATCTGGTGGTTCCTCTCCTTCAGCGCTCCGATCATCTCCTGGGAGTCGGCGTTGTCCTGCTCGGCCATCTTTAAGGTGTTGGACAGATGTTGCTGAACGCCCAGCAGCTGCTCCCTCTCGAAGCGGGCGTTGTCTGCCAGATCCCCGTATCGCTGCTCCAGCTCCAGGTAGCGTCCGCTCTTGATGTCCTCCTCCAGGCTGTAGGAGATGTGGTGTTCCTCCAGGAGGCAGCGTAGATACTCGATCTGCCGGCCGTACAGCTCCAGTTTGTCGCTCTGCTGGCACAGGGAGTCCATGAGGATCACCTTCTCCTCGCCCAGGCGCTCGTTCTCCCCGTTCAGCTCCTGGGTGATCTGCTGCAGGTCGGACAGCTCCTGTAAAGTGGCCTGGAGCTCCTCCGCCGTGCTGTGCTGGTTCTCCTCCATCTGGTGGATGCGCTCCGTCAGGCAGGCCACCGACACCTCAAAGTCAAAGTTATTGTCAATCAGTTTGTGTGTACAGAGAGATCGAAATACCGTTTCCCACAATCCCGAATACAAAAATATATAAAAATATGTTGTACTGAATGTCCTCTTCCAACATGAGAGTACCATGATAACAAAGGTATCCCAACTGTAGCTGTGAACATGACAGGATGTGTGATTACCTAGAAGAGCATCAGGACTGTTTGAGGCATATGATAGCTATGTGATTAACATGATGATTCAGCCTCTATGGAGATAGACATCAAGCATGCTCATTTCTGACGTGGAGCTAATCTGAAGTAAACATTGAATACTGCTTTCTATTCCTCCATCTTGTGACTGTGTAACTCCCTCTCTTGGATATCAGCATGTGAAGGACACTGTTCAGGAACTAGTTGATGCTCTGTATGTGATGACTACTTCCATTCTGGAGAGGATCACAGATACATGGATCCTGAGGCTGAAGCTCAAGCCGGGGACCAGTGAGATTTCTCTAACATCGATATAGACACACACAAAACACACCTCGCTGGCGTTGTCGCTGCTGCCCCTCCGGGAGCGCTCCCTGCTGGGGGCGCACTCTGACTCTGAGGAGGAGGAGGCTCCAGAGGGGGCGTCCAGAGCGTCATCGCTGGAGGTCACCGTCTGGTACACCTGGAGGAGACGGAGACATTAGAGAGGGCCGACAACACCTTGGTTTTAAGTTAGCTGCATCTTCGATCTCTGTCTGTACACAAACTAAAGATTGAGAATAAAGTTGTCTTTGACTTGACCGTATGAATAAAGGTTTATTGATTGATATTCTATGGGTGTTTTTTATAACTTCTTTCCTTGATTGAAGTGCACTCCTCACCTCGCTGGATTCACTGTCCAGGTTGTCTGCGGAGCCTCCATGCTGGTGTCCGGTGAGCAGATCCTCCAGGGATCCGGGGGCCGATCCCTCCACAGAGGAGGAGGTCAGCGTTCCTCCTCCTCTTCCTCCTCCTCCTCCTCCATCACTCTGCCCTCCTCCTCCTCCTCCTCCATCACCCAGGGAGGCGAAGCTGAACAGTTTGTCGGAGGCGTCCAGCCGCTGCTCCAGAGAGAATCCCAGCGCGTTCAGCCGGTCTTTCAGCATGCGGTTCTCACTCTTCAGCAGGTTCAGCTCCTCCCTGATGGCGTGGTTCTGCTCCTGCAGGAGGATCAGGGTCGACTCCACATCGGCTGCGGTGATAGCTGACACATGAGGAGGAGGAGGAGGAGGAGGAGGAGGAGGAGGCGGCTTCTCCACCTCTTCTTCCTCTTCTTCCTCCTCTTCTTCCTCCTCCTCCCTTGTGTCCTCCTTCCCTCCCAGGCCCAGCTGCGCCCTCATGCCTCTCAGCTCGCTGCGCAGATGATGGATTTCCACGTCTTTGCTTTGAGCCAAACCCAGCAGGTCTTTCACTTTGGTCTCCAGAGCCACTTTGTCGCTGATCTGACCGTCAGATTTAGATTTGCTCATGCGGCCTTCAGACTCCACCAGGATTTGGCTGCGGGAGCGTTTCCCCGACGAAGCATCGCCCGTCGCTGCCCCCGACCCCGGCTGCTTCTTACAGGCCGCCGTCCTGGAGCTGCGGAGACGATCCCGCGAGGAGTTTGTCTCCTTGGCATTGGACGAGGTTGCACGCCTTGATGAAGTGCCTGGTAGGAGTACAAAGAATTATACTCACTAAAGGAATATTTAGTTTTCTTTCTGACCATCACTAAAAACGTTCCAAGCTACTTTTTGACTACGTCCATCATAAGAAAATGCTCCAACTTAAACAGGCATTTATATAATTATCTGAAGTCACCTCAAAAATAGAAAATAGACAGACACCTTGACAGGATAAACAGATGAAGATGAATTTGCTAAAACCTAGTTTAATGTCATTTAGTGAAGTCAATCTTAACAACAAAATGGATAAATCACAAACAAGAACATTTGGGATGGTGGAATAATGACGATGACAATTAACATATTGATTCAGATATACCGTGCATACTTTTTAACAGTCATTTAATACATGCTTTGGTAAATGTATTTACACTTATCACTTGTTTTTTCCAATGATATATATTTGTTTTTAATATATTTATGTACGAACCAATAGACCCTGGCAAATGTGAAAACCTAGTTGTGAATAAATGTTATGATTCTGATGCTTACTAAAATGCTAGCCTACTTTATAGTTTTTGTTGTAGGAATGACAGAAGTCTGAACAACATCACATGTAACTCGTAGAATAGTGTAGAAAGTATTTAAATGTGTGTTATATTACCTGCTGTGGTCTTTGGCTTGCTGTCCAGGTTGCTAACGTTGGTCCCGGTGGAGGCCGTCCTCTTGCTCTTGTTGACGGCGTTATTCGATGCAGGAGCTCCTCCCGCCATCGCTGCTAAAAGATCATCGTTGCTTTTCACCTGAAAACACATTTTTACAATATCGACAAATTGACTTACAGACAGAAATGAGGCTGAAGCGATTGACCGAAATGACAGTAAGAGAATAACAAACCGCGACACAATCACTTAAAAAAGCATATATAACATTGTGAACGATTGAAATGTAATACTTATAATGGGTTAATTAATTAAGACTAGTATTAACGTTTTTATTTAAACATTTAAAATATTTATCTGTAGATTTTTTGTTTGTTTTTTTACAATGTAATAATTTGATTTTGATTTATAATGAAAATAATAAAACAGTTTTCATCCTTTCAAATATAAATGTCCTGCTTTTTCTCTGTTATATGAAATCAAAGCTAATAAGTATACATTTTTCTACATTGTCGATACCAATATCAGAGACTTTACGAGTCAGCATACTATAACAACTTAATAAGGCTGTCCAACAACATCATCTGGGACCCAAAGCATGTTCTGAACAGAGAATATGAACTGCTGCCATCTAATGGGAGATACAGGGTTCAATAAAGTCAGACTGAAGCATCCTCAGTCGACCCTCTCAGTACACAGAGCTGAATCCAGATCAAAAGCACGCTGACGGCTCTTTGAGCAGGTTTTCTCTCAGTGATCCTGCTGTTATATTAAATGTTTGCTTTCCATGTGTTGTGTCTTGATGTTTGTCTGTTGATGTGACACATGGAGCTGCTGTGATGCACGTCACATGTCAGACTTGACCATTAAAGTATTATCGTATGGTAAAAGATACTACATTGAGTTGTGAGCTGTGTGCAATCTGATTCCAAGCATCATTTAGTTGATCCTGTGACGGCTCTTACCTTGGACAGCGGTGCAGCGCTGCTCTTGGCTGCAGGCTTCCCGGTCCCGGTGTTTCCCTCCGCCTTCCCTCGCTCCCCGCTGGCTTTACTCACCGCGGGCCGCACCGACTTCTTCATACTGCGCTCTGTGCTGCAGAAACATCTACGATCTGTGCACAGAGAGGAAGTGTGTCAGCGCTCAGAGGGACAGATCCACTTCTTCCATGAAGGAGGAATTCTTTCCACCGAGGTTATTCCCTCAACTCTAGAAAACACTGAGACCACAATGAATAGCTTTGCAGCGTTTGTGGATATTGTGTTTTTTCCTTTGTCTGTTTCAAGATATTTGGTGTTGAGAAAGCGGTGGATCATTCTGATTATCCTCCGGATCCCTACAAATGTTCTATTCACCACCTTTGAAGAGAGAGTCCAATCAGTGATGACGGTAAATACATTACTCAGTTTGTGCTTTATTTTCAGAGAAAGCAGTTTGAAGCAGCAAATCCTGTGGTTCCCTTCCCTGTCATTGAATAAACCAAAGACCCGGATTAAGAGACATATTTTATGGATATTCTGTGTTATATTCAACAAAGGATTCTATGAATATAAAACACTGTCAAAACAAACTAATAATGTAATTTAAATCGCTTGTTTACGTCCCTCACTTCCGTTTCGCTTCTCATGCACTGATTCTCTAAGCTGAACAGCCAATCAGAGTGATTTCTTTGACCGACAGCCTTTGACCGATTGCCTACCGATTCGACACAGAGGCCAAAAAGGTGTCGGCACGGCCGAAAAGACACAACGGTGCGGGGGACACCGATCTGAGTAGGGCGACAGGACGCTCATCGTCGGCCAGACATCTATCGACGGCCAAAATCGGCTCGGTGTGTCCGGGGCTTTACAAGACTAAATTGAAATCAAGACTCCATTATAATTGACCTTTGTCCAATACTGATTTGTTCCCATTTCCAGACCATCTTCTGTACTACTTTCAATAATGGTATAGATGTTACAGTTTTAAAATGTTGCTCATTTATATTGATATCATTATACATGCAATATATATGGCGGTGGAGGCGAAGTCGATAGGGACTTGGCAACTGGAAGGTCACCAGTTCAAGTCCCAGCAAGACCAAGTGCTACCGAGCCGAGGTGTCCCTGAGCAAGGCACCGTTCCCTACACTGCTCCCCGGGCGCCGTTCAAAATGGCAGCCCACTGCTCCTAACAATAAGATGGGTCAAATGCAGAGAAACAATTTCCCCACGGGGATTAATAAAGTATATCAATATCAATCATTTAAATCATTTTAGCTTCAATGCAGTCACACATGGTAGCTATAACAACCGTAGGAGATGATAAGGGAACATATAGTAGAGCAGAGACTGAAATAGAGGCTTTAAAAAGGCTAAATCATCTCTCCACTAGATGGCGATCCTGTGTTTGTGACGGTTCACAGAACAACTTTTGTTTGTTGCAGCAACGATAACAAAGATAAAGCTTTTTTAATCTGATTTCTTCTGAGTGGGTGGCTCCTCTCCTCAGCGCAGACACAAATGGGCAAGACGGAGTTATTTTGGACTTTTTGTAGAAAATTCAGCAGCGCCAAAAAAGGAAAAGTGGATTCCTTCACAGATCAAAGTGAAAGCGCAAACCAACACAACCTAATGCGGTCAGATTTCGTGACGCACATGTGTGTGTGATCATCTTTCACTGCAAAGAAACCATTTAGTGCCACACCGGCGCACAACAACAGGTTCTCAGAGGTTGCTTTTATCGGTTTGGAAGATTCATAACAGGAGATTCTGGGTCGGGGAAAGATTTGTATCTTCCATCACTCGATTCTTTAACAACTTATTTACTACATAAGCTTAACATTGCTTCTGATGGACAGTCGTCTACACAGCATGTCAAAGCTGTGTCAACCATTACAATGAGCAACAACAAGGCTTTGTTAACAATATAATGTTTCAAGTTTGTGAAAATAAAAAAGTAACTGAGCTAAGTTCACATCTTACTCTTTGGATCAAGCAACGTCATCATATATGTTTTTATAACTTGAAGTAGTTCGTCTTAAAATGGACTGAAAACAGAGAAACACAAAGTTAATGTGCATTTTTAGCATTTATCAATATGACCTTTTGTCTTAGTTTTGCCTTTGATTGTTTACATAGATGAATGAGTTGATAACCCTTTTAAAAACTATGAAAACTCTCTAATCTTACACACTTTGCTTTGATGCCATAACTTCATTAAGAATCGACTCAATCAGTGCGCAACAAATCAAAGAGATCAGCTCCATATGTTCAGAATCCAAAATATATCCTCTTCAAATTCTGTATTTATTAGTAGTACAGTAGTGCATATCAGCATATCAGCATAGCATGTGTTTTTATATGTGGAAAGTAACTATGGTGCTAAATAAAAGGTAGTAGAGGAAAAAGTAGCATATTTGCCTTTGAAATGCAGTGAAGTAAAAGTACTGGATACAAGTATGTACAAATAAGATTAAAGTAACAGTTATTTTTTGACTGGTTGAGAATAGAAAGTGAGCTGAAGTTATTTATCTGAGACAGGAAACCCCTCCCCTCTCTGTCTCTGAGTCACAGCTGTTGTTTTCCTGGGCAGACGTTTGTTGTTTTAATATGGAAATACATATAAACAAAAATACAAGCGGTAAATGAGACTTTGAATAGAAAAACTGTGAGAAGCGTATCGTAACAGGAGCACAACTATTGGAATGATTCACTCAAAACACTTCTACGAATCCTATCTCAATAAAAACACATTACAGAAATAAATCAATATTTAGGATCTGATAGGAGGAGCAGCTAAACGTCTCCTTCCTGAAACTTCCAGAAAATCCCTCAAAAACCTGCTACTGCACTTCATACAACAACAAATACTCTTCTGACAGCTGTTTCCCTGCAACAAATCCTCCCTTTCAAGTCCAAGTGATTTAATATCTTCTTCCGAAGAGACGATATTTGTTTTGTTTTCTTATTTCTGTCTATTGGCCTGCAGTGACGTAGATGCTGAGAAACGTTAAGCTACATCCAATTCATATGAGCTTGGCGGCTGTGGCTCAGTGGATAGAGTGCTGGACTTTGAATCAGGGGGTAGCAAGTTCGAGTCCCGCTGCAGTCAGCATGTCGTTGTGTCCCTGAAGACACTTCACCCCAAATTGCTCCTGTGGGGATTGTCCACACTACAGAATGTATGTAAGTCACTTTGGATAAAAGCGTCTAACAAATGACATGTAATGTAATATGAGCAAATCACAAATAGCCCCAGCCCCAAAAGAGGGGAGGGCTTAATTTACAGTATGGATTTAAACGGTTACATTTCCTCTTAAGACTTTGTACGAACCCTGTTTTTTAGAAGCTTTGTTTAGTGACCATACTTGCTGATATTGTCTTATGTCTGACCTATACACCAATATGTTGGCCGGTGATCTGAAATTAAAGAAATGATGTGAAAGAAGCTATAAATAATCGACTGGGAAGCTTTTGTTGTCTTTGAGTCGGCCAGCTCTTGAACAGTTCTGCAGTGCATTTATTTTTAAGTGTTTTAATCTACAAGACTGTATTTTTGACTTTTTGGACTATTTATTTTAACTATCCAGAATATTTTATATTGTTTTGTTAATATTTGATATCATATTTTTCATTTTATTTGTAATTGTTCATTCTCTTTCCCAGTTTAAGTATTTTAAGTATTGAATTTGAATGTCTAAACACACCTGTGCTTCTGTGACGAAATAATTTCCCAAATTGGGATCAATGAAGTATCTTTCTATATCTATCCATCCATCCAAACATTTATCCATCTATCCAAACATTTATCCATCTATCCATCCATCTATCTGTGCTGGCAGTTATAAACAGCAGTCTGCTCTCAGGGAAGGTCCCTGAAAACCTGAAGCATGCAGTCGTCCAACCTCGTATTAAAAAACCCAAGTCTTGATCCCACAGTTCTGGCTAATTTTAGGCCCATTTCCAAAACGCCTCAAAAATCCTGGAGAAGATTGTTTACAGTCAAATTATGTTTTTTCTGGAAGAGAACAATATACTGGAGGTTTTCCAATCCGGTTTTAAAACTATGCACAACACTGAAACAGCGCTTTTAAGAGTTTTGAATGACATCCTTTTATCTACTGACTCTGGGGACTGCGTTGTGCTTCTACTTATTGATCTAACTGCTGCTTTCGATACAGTCGACCATGACATCCTGATCTCTCGCTTGGAGCAGTGGGTGGGCATTGAGGGGAAAGCCCTGTAATGGTTCAGGTCATATCTGAAGGACAGAACTTTCTCTGTCAGCCTTGGTGACTCCGAGTCATCCTCTGCTCTACTCCTGTATGGGGTCCCACAGGGCTCAGTAGTAGGCCCCCTGCTATTCTCCCTCTATTTGCTCCCTCTTGGGTCCATATAAAGCACGGCATCGCATTCCACTGCTATGCTGATTAGGGATCGACCGATATGGCTTTTTCAAGGCCGATACCGATTATTAGTAATCAAGGAGACCGATAACCGATATTTGAAACCGATATACATTTGCAGTAAAATCAGAAATTCTTGGTGTCAAAATGTACAATAACACAACTTCTTTGAAATGTCTTTTTATGTTTAATGAACTTAAAACTGGTTTCCTCTCTGTGACCCTGAGTAAAGTGAGTAAAGTAAATGAAGTAAAAATTAAATAAAAACTACTAAAACTTGTTCTGAACTTCTGATATTTGAGTCTCACTCATTTAGTAGTCCCAATTCAGCAGCACCAGATTGTGGTGCAGAAAGCAGAGTTGCTGCGAGGCTCCACTAGCAGCCGTCCCAGTCGTCCCAGCACGTCCCAGTTTCTCCGCTGCGAGACGCTAGCCGCCCACCTGAAGGGATTGGGATGTTTATTGAACTTCGGCTTTCAACTGATTTACCTTCGAAACACATGTATGGCTCTGCCGCTCACTGCTGCCGCTTGCCTCTGTGTCTGCGTTCTTCGCACCTGCCTGTAATCTGAGAAGGTCCCGCCTCTCTGGCTGAGAAATCTTCAGTGTTGATTGACACTTCAGTAATAGCCTATCAGATAGCGCTGTGGGCGGGACATTGCTCGTGAACAGTGGTGGCTGCAGCCAGAGAAATGGCTGCATCAGAGCCAAAGTTGTATCTACAATTT